CGATTTTCACGAAGGCGATGTCGTTTTGGTCGCACTCGTCATCAATGTTTTCTAATTCGGATATGATCTTTTGGCTTTTCTTTTGATCTTTGTCGTCTAAAAACCCAAAGTATTAGTTTTTGTTTGATTAATAAAATGAGATAATGATAAACTTACAGAATAGTACGGCAACATGTTGTACTTTATCCAAGATAATCTCAAGCATTTCATCATTGATATCTTCAATTTCATCACTCTTGGCTTGATGTTCAAACCATTTCAATACTTTTCTTCTTCTTCCAAATTTCCTTCATAGAGTGTAGGAATACCTTTCTCAAAATAGACTAAAGATGGGATTTTCTCAATGCCGTATTCTTTCGCCTCGTCCTCATTATCAATCTTGACGAACACAATACCCAACTTATCGCATTCGTCGTCGATATTTTCAAGTTCGTTGAGGACACGCTGAGATTTCTTGTCATCATCATCGTCTGTAAAACAATAAACTCTTAATAAAACCAGAAATTTAAAATTTTTGTTGGCATACAGAATAAGACAGCAACACTCTTCCCATCATTGATCAATTTATCAAGCATTTCATCAGTGACGTCCTCGATTTCGTCCTTTTCGAGCTGCTGCACGAGCCACTCGAAAAACTCCTCCTCGTGCTCCAAGTCACCGTCGTATACGTTCGGAATTCCTTTTTCGAAGTAGACAACAGCTGGCAGTGCATCGATGCCGTACTCTTCAGCCACGCCATCATCGTCAATCTTTACAAACTGAATGCCATGTTTATCACAATCATCATCGATCTTTTCTAGTTCTTCTAAAACTTGCATTGAGTCTTCATTACCATGATCATCTACAATAACAAATTAGTTAAAATGTTGTAAAATTAAATTCTTAGTAAGTAATTACAGAATAACACGACTAAATTGTCTACACTGTCAACGAGTGTAGAGAGCGTTTTACTGGTAACATCTTCAATGATATCTTCATCATCCCCAGTGCTTTTCTGTGTGACGAGCCATTCCAAAACATCTTCCTCGCGTGTTAATTCACCTAAAAAATTTAGTTTTAGAATATTGAGGTTTTTATGTTGTTTATATTGTTTATACCTTCAAAAATAATTGGTGTTTGATGTCTGTAATAAACAAGTGCAGGCAATTGTCCAAGGTTATATTCTTCAGCTAATTCCTCATCGTTTATTTTAACAAAACCAATTCCCAATTGATCCGCTTCGTCGTCAATGTTTTCCAGTTCTTGCAAAACTTTGGAGCACTTCTTGCATTCGGGTTTATCTAAACACATAAATACCAATGTTATTTCCTTACAGAATAATCTGTGGAACACAATTTAGGTCACCATGGAAGAAAGACGCAAGAAATTATTACAACTGGCATTCAATATGACGAAAACGCAACTTTGCGTTCTTCGACGGTGCACGATGAGCGCTTTATTTTTAGAGCAGCTGACATTTTCGCAATCGCTATCGCAATATTATTTTAAAGTCTCCATTTGCGTTTCTCCGACCACTAGCTTAGATTTCATGCAATCAAGAAGTCCGTGCAGTCACAAGTCAGGCAAATCCTAAACCATTCCAAAAGTGTTTCAAATCCAAGACAACAACTAGTCTACTAGATTCAAAAATCGCTTGGGCTTGTACACAAATGCAGAAAATATCAGAACGAATAAATGCGATGAGACGTGGCGGGCAGAAGGGGCAAGAGGGGGCATTGGCAAGGCGTTTGTCATACTCTAATTAGTGGCGTGTGTTTTCTGTGAACATTTGTTTCATCTGCCGAGGAGTGTTTGTTGTGTTAAGGGGTTGAATGCGCGCGATTTATCATGGAGTGTTTAGAGTTTAGAGAAAGTGTGGGAAAGTGCCGTCACATGCGTGGAGCTGATATAGCAAAAATTTGCTGCAAGAAAAACAATGCGATGCAATTGTATAGTAAATTTTGGTCTCATTTTAAGAAAAAAATAATTTAACATTTGTTTACCAAACGATTGCTTGCGTTGTGATTCTTTTCAAATGATAAATTTCAGCCCAACATGGCAGCTACTTACTTACGCCCCCTTTGGAACAAGTATCTGAATCCGGACCTGAAACATTCGCACAACCACACGACTTGTTTGTGTTGCTACAATTTTAAGATTTTACCTTAAGTGCTAGATTAGTCACAACATATAAAAGCATTTTTGATATTTTTTGGGCCATTTTATACGCGGCATGTATGTAGATTTTGGGAGGGCTTCGAATCGTCGAAAATGACTTTTATTATTGTGTTTTTTCTACTTGTTATAATCTACGAAAATACTTACAGAATAGGACGGCCACATAATCGGTGTCCTCGACGATCTTTTCAGAATTCTCGAATTTACCTCTTCTATTCTGTCTGGTAAGTCCATGGCTTCCAAACTTGTCAAAAAATCGAGCACGTTTTCCTCGTCCATCAGGTCACCTAAAATTACAGATATTTTCATTAAACGCCTCACACATGGCGTTTGGGTCATGTTGATCTGCTCGTGACCTGATTTTCATATATTTAGTTAAGCAAGCCGCTAAAAACCACAAAAATTGAGCAACCTAACGAGCAAATTGCATTGCATATTAAATTTCTGTTGTTGTTTGAAGTACATTGATTAAAATTGTGTTTGCAAAATCGATTTTCCATGTAATTTCCGAAGTTTGCTTTGAACTAGTCTGCAGTTGCATAACAATGGGCCTATTACGAAACCAATATCTGTGTGATTTTCATGGTAACCACCCACAGAATGATGACGATCAGGTGGCAAACGTGAGTGGCTTGGGCCACTTTTTGTTTTGCTCCTTTCAGCTATTTTACAGCGCCCAAAGAGCTAACACAATAAAATGTACTATTCTAGGCGGCTAGGCAGCATTCGTTTATTTTTAGCCCGCATCGAGACTCTGCGATGTCTAAAAACTCGTACAACTCCGCGCAGCATCAGATCTTTCAAAGGCGGCCTCATTAATCCGCGAACAAATCATGTTCGAATCGTATCGGGACGATATCCCTACCCAGCAATCATTCAGTTCAGCTAGAAGTCTTCCGCTTGCATAATCGATGATCATCACAAAGGGAATCTCACATGTAAATAGCTTTATGAACGACTGTCGGATATGTTGCGGTCAACGGTTTTCCATCCGTAGAAAATGTGAAGTGTGGAATTTAATTCAGAACTTTCGGACGTGCGACCAGGCTTGGCTAGGCCATATTAAAATTCTTGCCCGTGCCAAATTTTGGCCGAGTTTCAAAAAAGCACGGAACATGATAATTCTATTCGGAAAGAGGCTTTGCGACCGAATGTTAAATACAGAATGAAGCAATCCTGTTAGGAGAGAAGTAGAAAGAGACCTTCGTAGATGATTGGTTGTTTCTCCCTGAAGTAGGTGAGCGCCGGAAAGTTCTTGATGCCATACTGCTTGGCCAGCCGCTTGTCGTTGATCTTCACAAAGTCCACGCCAAACGAATCTGTGTCGTCGTCGATCTGCTCCAACTCCTCGAGCACCTTGTCGCACGTGGTACAGCTGCGAGCGTCTGCAAGTTAATACGGAGAATAGGTTACGCAAAAGCCTCAACAGTCTGTAAATATTTTGATTTTCTCATTATGCTGTTTTACGAGTCAATTCATACTTTGGCAGCGCACGCATTCGCCCGTTGCATTTGATACAAGGAAAGTAACCGAGCGAGCATCAGGGCACCGTGTGATTCAGACGTTGCGAATGTCCCACGTACGAAAAACAGTCGAAGCCTTTTAATTTTAGAATTTCGCGCGCAGCAGAATTGTACAATTTATTAGGACATAAATGTGTCGCCGAGTGGAAAGTGCTTCTGTGCTTCTGCAAACAAGAGGCGGCCGATTTTTGATATGGCATCACTAGACAAGTCAAAATAGGTGAAGGATCATGATTGTACGTGGCGGCAGGCGACATGGTTCAATTTATCTAAGCGGGTTTTTTGTGTCTGCGTGAAAGTTTGGCGAGTCGAACATTTTTATGTAATTGTCGCTGCTTACAGTAAAAATAAAATGTGTTATTGGCACGACGACTATGTCGCTATGCGACTCTGAGGCATTAGCTGCTTAACAGGTGTGCCCAGTCCGAATAAGATTTATGCTCATGGGCGCCATTAATGCGATTCCGATATGAAAACATCGGGAGGTGTTGATGTGCGGGAGGATGGCGCGATAGACGTGCACGTGCCCGTCGTGGTTAGCGTGCGAGAGATCACTGGACGCCGAGCCAAATCGGGATATGGCATCCAAGTACGATACCCGTCTATCCCGAAATCCATTCGTACACGCAGGACGCACACACGCACAGTACGCGCACGCGGGCGGCCGGTATAGTGTTACATTTGTTGAGCTATGCTTGCGCCAATATGGCGGACTGACTTCCGGCCGCACAAGAGGTTGGCTACTTACACCAGAACACCGCGACGTAATCCTTGTCGGCCAGGACACGCTCCAGCTGCTTGGCCGTGACCTCCTCAATGACGGGATCATGATGCGCCGCTGGGCCGCGTTTGGCCGTCACCACAGCCACGAGTAGCAGCCACCACCACATGCTGCCGTCCACTACTGAGAAAAGAGCAATCCGCCGCTCGGCGTCGCGACGCTGCGCCGCCATGCCCCACCTGCTGCCACCACCACCGGGCGTTGGATCTAAAGCTGGATGCCTCGATGCTACTGCATACCATCTCGTGGGCTACCCACAAGACCAATCACTCGGGAACATAAAAATAAAAATTAAAACAAACTGAATAATGACATAAACATCACACTATGACTATATAAATAGTCCATTACAATTTATTTACCCGTTAATCTATTGTACTCATGTAATTTACACTCAGGCAACATATCATGTTTGTAAAAACATAATCTGGTAGTTTTAGGGCATCTTACATATCAGTTACCCTTTTGTCACGTCTATAAATAGAAAGAAACTATAGAAATGCTCATAGTTCTCTTTAAATCATCATATTTACTGCATAAAAATAGTAAAACAATGACAGAATCAAAGTCATGCATTATAATCGGATGTGGTTTGGTAAAAATTTAAATTTATTTATAAATTGTTAATTTCAATAGAAATTATTTCCAAGGTGGGTTCCCTAGCCGCTCATTTTATGCTTAAACTTGGTTATGTAGTAACCATTTATGAGAAGCGAGAAGATCCGCGTATGTCAAAAACCGTCGAAGGTAGATCAATCAATTTGGCGATGTCCAACCGCGGGCGGAAATCGCTCAGATTTGTTGGCATGGAGGAAGACATTCTAAAGTTAGCCGTGCCAATGAAAGGACGCTACATTCATTCCAAATCAAAGAAGTGTGAATCTATACTGTATGATTCAATAAACAATGAGGTAACTACCATTTTACATTTTATAAACAAATATTTTTTTTATTTTTGTCTTTATAGTGTTTATATTCAATATCTCGCAACCAACTGAATCTGCAATTGATCAAAGCAATTGAAAACAATGACAACGTACGCTTGCACTTCCAACACAAACTGATTCAGGTCTTTCCGGATGAAGGGACTGTCACAATCCGCACGTATGTGTTTTGTGTTATCAGCAGTTGCGTGTATGTTTCACCGGTGTGAATTGTGTTTGTTCCAGCGCGGAAAATGTTCACGTTACGAATCGCGCCGATATAATAATAGCATCCGACGGTGCCTTTAGCGGAGTGCGAATGGAGATACAAAAGTCCTGTCTGCTTGATTACGCGCAGACCTACATCAATCACGGTTACGTGGAGCTGACGATAGCGAAAGAGCACGGTTTGCGTATGACGCAGAATCATTTACACATTTGGCCCAGAGGAACATTTATGATGATTGCATTACCAAATTTTGATCATTCATGGACTGTCACCTTGTTTATGCCTTTTAACATTTTTGAAGCACTTAAAACCAAAGAAGATTTGATTGATTTCTTTAAAGATACATTTCCAGACTTTTTTGATTATACAACACCAGAAGATTTAGCTTCTGATTTCTTTCAGAAGAAACCAATGCCATTGGTGTCTGTAAAATGTTCACCGTTTCATTTTGGTAGAGTTGTTTTACTTGGCGATGCAGCACATGCAATGGTACCATTTTATGGTCAAGGAATGAATGCAGGGTTTGAAGACTGTCGAATTCTCTACGATGTATTATCTCTTTTTGATGTGGAAGAAGCACTGGAACGTTTCACAAAATGGCGGCGTGAAGATGCGCATGCAATTTGTGATCTTGCAATGTACAACTACCTAGAAATGCGTAATTTAGTATCAACAAGAAGTTACCGCATCCGAAAGTTCTTCGATAACATCGCATTCAGACTAATGCCCAATACTTGGATCCCTTTGTACAATTCAGTGTCATTCACTGACATGGGCTATAAAGAGTGTTGTGACAACAGAGCCTGGCAAGATAAGGCAAGTAAAACACAAACATATATTAATAGCTCTTCAAATTTATGTATAAAACCATTTTATAGATTATTCGCAACGTCTTCGTATCATTTGCTTTAATCATACCCGTAATCTTATTACTCCTCGTGATCATCAATGCTTAATGTGGAATCCAGTTGTATAACACTTAATATACTATAAATGAATAATCGTACGATAACAATACAAAATTATATATACACCTTTAATAACGTCCGATGAGGAGGACTACAAGATTTCCAACTTGACGTTCTCGGCATCTTTCAAGTAAGTGCGTTTTTGTTCTTCGAACAAATCAATCAGGCACTGTTTAAATTTCGCGTGGATTTCATCAACTTGCTCGGGAGTTGGATTTTGGATTTTTGGGATTTCCATTGGTCGTCCCACTAAAATATAAATATGATTTTAGTTATATCACAATAATGATTGAATAAAAATGTGATTTACCAACTGTTGTTACCGGTCTACGCCTGGGGACCAACCCAAAATTATATTGGAAAAACCCTCGACCAACTGGAATAGCCGGAGCAATACCAATATAATTCTTCAGCCATTCCTGCAGTGAGCGTACCCATGATCCCTCTGGATTGTCAACCTGATCAAACACATCAGTCTCACCAAACGAAAACACAGGCACCAGGGGGCTTCCGGATTTCAACGCGCATTTGATAAAACCCTTGCGTTTATTCAGTATAATTTTATACTGTCCAGGCCGACAATAAAAGGCTTCCGTAGCACCACCCACCATCAGAATACCAATATTACCACCGTGTGGCTCATCCAACACGTGTTCAATACTCTTGGCTGAAGCTTTACAACCACCAAGGCCGAAAACCATCTCACGAAAAAATGGCGCATCAAAGTGTTGACCAAGTGTCATTATCATACGTTTGTGATTGGGGAAAAACTCTTTGAAGCCTCCGTAATTGGTTCCGAATGCCACGAACGGCCCCGTGCACAGCATGCCGTGTGGAAAACAACAAAACAAATAATTACGTTTTGGATCAAGGTCCATGAACGACACGCGTTCCAATTTCACTGGGAAATAGTCACGGAAATAACGCCACCATGTCCAACTTCGCACCCATTCGGATTTACGCCCGCCTTCTTCACATGTGTCTTTGTCAAGGGTTTTAATCCAGAGGATGTATATCAGTGTCAACCACCAGTATGATGTGAAAAATATTAGATATGCAGTGAGAATCCACATCATGAATCCACCGAATGCCATTATCACGAACCAACATCCCGCTGCGAGGGTTTGCAACCTTCGTTGCAGTGGGACATTCAATGGAGCCCAGTGGATTCCAAACAACTCCATTATTCTAAAATAAAAACATTTTTTTGTTATTTTTTAATTATAACTTTTAAATAAAAATTAACTCGCCAGTAAAAAAAGTAATCTTAGAGTGGAATTTTACCAATGATTATATTGCGATTCAAAATGATGTATAATTATATTTAAAACAATTCGTTTACTTCGTCATTGTCCCATTGACAGTAGTGATATATGTATATGTTTACTCACAATGTGTATTAAGTAACGATGACTAACAATAATATTAAACGACGACTGTTTTACCGCGAATTTGTATTTTTAGCCATCCAACACCTAGTACACTAGCTGTGAAACTTTGAAATGTAGAAATTGAGAAAGTCTGCACTTTCACGTTCGATATGTGGATTTAAATATTGCATGCACTGCAAGTTGTCGGTGTTTATAACTCGTTATAAACGCGTTATCTCCGCGAAAACCAGACGAATTCAAAATATGTTGTTGTCGCGAAAGCTTTGTGTTGACGTCCAATTAGAATCGATTTCAAATCACGTATGTATGTGAATGCACGATGCAAATGCATATATTCTTTGTTTTGCGCATCTTATATAACGGTGATCGGTTGTAACCACGTCGCGCGCCTCAAAGTCTTTGACTACGTCTAAATATAGGAAGTGGTCAATGTTCCATTCGAGGTAACTAACAAATTAACGGAAATTAAAATTGTTTTTTTTTTTTGCTTTTTAATTTTATGTTCTGGCCGTTGAAACTGGATTCCCGTTTTGTATCATCCCGTCCCCCTTGTACAAGTTGTAAAGTGTACACTACGAGCATTGTTGCATCGGCGGTCACGTTGCCGGCGCGCATGTCGAAAGCCAACGTATCGTGAAAAACTCACAATCTCACCTTGAACTCGCCGGCGCGCAAGAAGTAACCAAGCCGTGTGTCTCGGTTGCTTGTCTCACGCGAAGAGTGTTTGTTCTCAATCGTGCTCACAGTGCAAGCGCATCACACACGATTATTTCGAAGATATTTTCCGTGCGAAAAAGCTTACTTTACTCGCTACCTACGAGAATGGCTAACGACGTCTTGACGCACTCGCGAACTCGCGACCAACATCGTCGCGTCGCGTTTGTATTTTAAAATAAATACGCGCGATACAACACGTTGCTAGAGACGCCCCACTCCGAGCACAAACTCACACGCGACCTGCTTGTAGGTATTTCTACATGCATCGGAAGAACCTTATTCCGGTATTGTGTGTGGTGGTGTGGAAAACAAGCGCGCACGATTCGTACATTAATAATTTCCCATTTGGAAATGCGATATAATTCACCGATTTCCAAACGTAACATGTTCGTTATCAGCAGTGGCATGTATCGTAAATAATGTAAATCACTATTTGCATACGATGACAATACAATACGGTGAATTCAATGTAAGACTGCGAAATTTAAACAAAAAGTTCATCGGACGATATTTGCCGCTCCAATTGTGAGTGATGCGTGTGATGCGCACGTAATAGTTTTTATTTTTAATTTTCGCTTTATTGTATTATTTTTACCTTTAATCTGATTATCAATATTGACGACGATGAGACCGCTTCCTATCTGATTGACCTATAAACTTTCAATTATGCTGTGCTTGTACCTCTAGTACCAAACTATTGATTTAATTTTGTGATAGTTTTTATTCACGCTGCAAACCCAAAACTTTGCATGTAGATAAACACGAGTCGTTTATAATTGTAGTTGTTATCGTGAAATATGTAAATTCATGATTTCAAAATGGTGAAATTCGAATAATATGTTGTCAATTATCAATAAGCGTTATGTTGAATGAGTACATGTAATAAAGCGCCTTTTCTTATTTAAAATAACAATAAAAACTTCAATTTACGTCCTTTACTCTATAATTTTATATTTGTGTCTTTAGGTTAATGGAAAATTAAAGCTTACAACTTAATTTCTTTGTAAATCATTGGACACTTTCTTTTCCTTGTAGAAAATTAAATATTTAGTGTAGTTATATCAACATCTTTGCTCTCTAGACATAATTTGCATGATTATCTAACCGTATTACGAATGTAAATGTTTAACTCTTCAAAACACCAAAAAACTTCTACTTCATTAATTTGAAGTAAAATTATATTAAAAAAGTGATGTTTTTGTATTGTTTGCGTTTAAAGAATAAAATTATACAATTTATGACGTGAATTAATAAATTAAACTTTGAATTTTACACAAAAATATTTAATGATGTAATTTGTGTTTAAACAACGAAAAACGTTGGAGTTTATAGAAAAACCACAAAATAAACATGTCAATATCAAGAATCACTTAAATCGTGCGATAGTAGCATACCATATCATTATTTACACTGTAAATAGTTTTACATACACTCAACGTTTATATAATAACAATCGTAAAACAGCTTACCTAAATATTGCTTCGAGGATCACCATGATGTTGAGGTAATCAATATGCTGATCAAAACAATATAAAACTCGTGACGCACATACTCTTACTAAGCCGAAAAATCACCGACTGACCAACAATATCAAATAGAAGTAATTTTAAAAGAGTGCATTCCAACATTGTGCACACTCGACTTTGCCTAGCACACTACGCGATAAGAAACTCGATAAGATTGTGATCAAATCGACCTCGAGTTGTTTGATGTGTTTTCGATATCAACAGGCAAGTTTACTATTGATAAAAGCAATGAAATATTAATAAGACGTTGGTACGTTGAAAGTACAACCTACAATCTATTTCAAAACATTATGTTCATGTTCATGGCGATGAATCAATATAAAAATAAAAAGTCGATATTGAAATTATGATGTGTTTTGTGTTGCCTACGTTTGTGGACGGTTTTGTGATGAATTCAAAATTACGTGGGTGGTTGCCAACCGCCAAACGCTTTTTCGAGCTCTTTGGCAACAGCGAAACAGAGTTTGTCCTGTCTAGGTCCTGCGACAACCTGAATTCCAATTGGCATGCCGTTTTGTCAACACCGAGCGCAACATGCGTGCTCGGTATGCCCAAATTGTTAAATATACTTTGGTACTGTACGCCACTCAGCTTAAAAATAAATTGGTTGTGTTGATATGCGTTTGTAGGGAATGTTGGATAGAGAAACACTCCGTTGGTACCCAAATGTGTCTAAAAATTAAATATCATTCAAAAACATTCTATTATAAGTATTTAACTTACTTTGAATTCAATTTTTAGTTCTTCCAACTCTTTTAAGTAAAGTTTTCTTTTATAAGGAAACACAAAACCTCGCACACAGCGCTAAAATGAAAATATTAATCCATTAAATGAATATTTTGAACATCCAAACGGATATTTTAATAATTCAAACAATAACCAATCATTTTGCTAAAATTAAACTTGTTATGATTTTAAATACAAAAGGTGACCATACAAACTTTGTCGGATATTGGGTTGCCTAGTATGTTAGGTAAATCATTCAAATACAACAACACCGCCGCAGTAATTTCCATCGTGTTGCTCATACTAAATTTAAATTGGTCCACATTTGCACCGCAGACGTGCTGCAAATGTGTGACGCATTTATTTATAGCCTGTTTAATTTCTGAATCCACAGCAACGTGCGCAATGCTTGCGCCTGCGTTGAACATGTGGAAAATGTTCAATGATTTTAAATCAACCTGCAATTTAAATATATAATCAAATTTGTAAGAATAAAAAACAAACACAAACATTACCTGATCATCCAATCCTAATTCAAATGAATGATCTGTTAAGACCTTGAAAACCAAGGGTAAGTCTTCTGCGTAACGCACCATTGGTCCAACAGTAAAATTAAATTTACCCATGTCGCTCTGCGCATTAGGGAAATGACCTTCAGAATCCACTAAATCTAAAAAACAAAATCAATTTCATTTAATTGCAATTGGCGCAGCATTACCGCACGTGTTTCATTTTATTGATAGTTAATTAAAGAAAACAACAATTTTTTTGTTGAGTTTTCTTACTTGCGGTGCACTTATGCGCAAAAACTCCATTCAACAGCGCAGGTAAACGTAATGAACCTGCAACATCAGATCCTATTCCTATTATAGAAGCACCCGCTCCAAGTAATGCACCCTCTCCTCCAGAAGAACCCCCAGGACTATATTTTATATGATATGGGTTGTTTGTTCGACCAGTAATACGATTATTACTCTCCCAGTATAAACAAAATTCCGGGGTGTTGGAAACAAGAAGAATAATTCCTCCAGCGCGCCGGATGCGTGCAACAGCAGCGCCATCTTGTGCAGCACGAAATCCTTCACGTTGTAATGATCCACAGGCTTGGCTCATTCCTATATTCATTAAATAATTGTTTAATTACATTTGTAGTTGTGTTGTACATTTACTGATCGAGAAATGCACTTAAGTCAAATATTTGTTTACGTGTTTTACTGAAATACCTTTCACTCCACATGATTCTTTGATTGTTATAGGGACACCCAGTAATGGTTGTGTTTTCTCTAGTTGTACTGGATCTATAATAGTTTTATTTAAATATTCGTCCACAGCTTTGGCGTCCTGTAATGCATCTTCAAATCTATCCTCGACTACAGCGTTTAATATTGGATTTACTTCTTTAATGCGCTCGATATATGCGGTTACAACTGTTTCGCTTTTCATCTGTGAAAACAAAATTAAAAATTAATAAAAAATTAAGAAATTAAAATATATTTTTTGTTGAACGTTTTTAGTTTTATGACTCGTTTCGCGCATTATTCCGACTATATTTCAACCTTCAATTAACTCTTTTTGCGCATATCATGTTTTTTTTAAAGTAAAGTAGTTTTAGTTTAAATATTAGATATACCTCACGCTTCCTGATTTTGTCCGCTAATGTAGTCGCGCTCAATAGAAGAATGTGGTTTTTGATCGGTGTAATTTTCGGCGTTTTCTCCACGAAACGAGCCAAAAATCGGAATAACCAGCCATGAAATAATGCGCATCAAGAATAGAACCAGCCTCAGTAAGATCTCCATGTTCAAGTTGAAAACCTTTCTTCTAATGCACTCTCTGCATTGACCTTATTAATCCTTAAGTTTCTCTTTGATTTTCACTGCAATAATGACGCGCCACAATACAATAAATGCAGTTTGCATCTAATTACCGATCGCAATTTGATTAAAAAGTCATTCGACGCCGAAGACACGCACCGTATGTATTGCAAAAAATATAAAAATTAGCATTTTGTACTCCCGCCGTGAATAACAAACTAACAAGACATTTACATGTTTACTTTTCACTTGCTTCGAGTGATTTGATTTGCGCGATAAGCACCGAGCAACTATTGACGTGCCAATACGAATTGTTTATAAACTTGGAGATTCGTCCGTTCATCCCTACCTACAGTTCACTCCCGTTTGTTGGACAACATTTGTTTGATTTATATTTTGTGTAAAATCATTATAATCATTATAATGCGCACGTTGTGTCTATAATTTACTCAAATAAATGACTTTAGTTTTTTTAGATCATTGATTTTTTTTCAATTCATTAAAAATCAGTTTTATTGCTTTCTAGAGCGCTTGTATCTAGTTAGGTCAGGAGTGACACAAGTTTATCAAGTTTTGTATAAAGTTATAGATAAAAGAATCAAGTAAATTTATAAATAAACGAAATAAAAACAAAAAATGTCTGTAATTTTTCTTTATTATGGGTTTGGTTATGTTTACTCAGGACACGCCCATCCTCCAAAACTTTTCTCCAGGGCTTCCGCAACAGCAAGACTCAATCGATCTTGTTTGGGTCCGGCAACCACCTGTACACAAACATATTGCGTGCACAATATAATAACCAAGTGATTTGCATAAATAGATAATTACCTGAATACCAACTGGTAATCCATCTTTATTCAAACCAATAGGTACCTGAGTACTTGGGCATCCAAGAATATTAAAAATCATCGCGTATGTAATGCTTGATATCCTCGTAAAGATCTGGTAGTGCTGGATTGCAGGCGTTGAAAATGTTGGATATAATAATACAGAGTTGTCGCTCAATTTGTTCTGTAAATTAATATCAATGATAAATGAATAACCTTGTTCTTGTTATACTTGTTGTTATATGTTACCCAAACAATTTTCTGCAGTTCTGCCATTTTCAGCTTGTAGTATGGTAAATGTCTTCGTGGTAGAAACGCATTGTAACGGATGACTAATTCCGCGAGTAGTAGTTGAATAGACAAATCACTCATACCGCACAGACTCTTTATGATTTCCATATACAAGTTTCGATTTTTCTGCAACAATAATTAAATTTCGTAATGTTTTTCTTCAAGAAGCAATTTGCACCAAGGCTACATACTCGTATCTGATTAAAATCATTAAATATCAAATAAAATGAGTGAAAACATAAACTAACACAATATTTAGTTTTATTATCACATAAAACTTAGAAAGGCGAATTACCTTTGGATTATTGGGATCTTGCATAAAGTTAGGCCTTTCGTTAAGTTCTAAATATAGACTTGTTCCTATTTCGACAGAGTTTTCCATGCCTTTAAACGTGACAACTTCCGATTTCATATTGAAATTTTTCCGCAAAGTTTTTACAGATTTCGAAATTGCTTCGATGATTTCCTGGGACACTGGTACGATTCCAAGCATATTGTAATACTCTTCGGTGTAAAGTACTTTTACTTGACTAAGATCAACCTGTAAATGTTAACATTTAAATATATATTTATGAAGCATCGTAAAATAAATAAACCGCAAACCTTTTTATCCAACTCAAGACATTTGCCTTCATCGGCGCTCATTACTTTCAGCATCGGTTTTAGATCGCTTGCATAACGGCACATTGGGCCTATTGCAATATAACTACAGAAAGCAGAGTCAGTTGAATTTGGAAAATGCATCGTGTGTGGTATTATTCCTATAATAATATTAATTTTATTTTTCGACAATAATATTGATTTTTATTTACTTGGTGTTGTTTTATGACCAAAAATGCCTGAAAAAGAACATGGCACACGAATTGATCCAGCATAATCACTTCCTACTCCTGCTACTGAAGCACCAGAACCAATAATGGCGGCCTAAATACTTTATAAATAAATTTAACAGTTTAAAACACTTTAAAAACGTTCAATACTTCACCGCCTGATGATCCAGCTACACTATAGTGTGTATTATATGGATTTTTAGTGCGCCCATTCAATAAATTTTCAGTTTCCAGTGCAGCACAATATTCAGGACAATTTGTTACAGCTAAAACAATAAATCCTGCCTTTTTCAACCGTTGTACACTAGCGCCATCTGCTGCACACTTTGATTCTTTTCGTTTCAATGATCCAACGGAGTAACTCATATCTAGACAAGATTATTATCATTATTAATGATTTCAATAAAATCCAAAAGTGAATCATTATAGATTTCAGACCTTTGACACCGCAACTTTCTTTGATGGTTATAGGTACACCTAAAAATGGCTTGTTTTTGACTAAAATGGCTTCGGAAATTTTAGTTTTTGCTATAAAATCATCCGCGGCTTTTGCATCCATAAGAGCCGCTTTAAATCTTTCATCAGTCACAGCATTTACAATAGGATTCACTTGTTTTATTCTCGTGATGTATGTAGAAACAACATAATGCGATGACAACTGTAATAAATTACATAATTATAATTTATTTTAAAGTTGACTTTACTTAAGTTGTTTACTTACTTTTTTCTGTCGTATTTTACTAGCTAACTCGGTTGCACTTAAAACTAAAACACGATTATCGATTGGTGGTAGTTTTTTCTGCCATCTGCAACGTTGTAGCCAAAACACTGGCTGTAAAATTTTATCAAGGAGAATAGCAAGCAGTCCGAAGATTCTAAATATCAAATCCATGTTTATGTGTTAATGTGAACTTGAAACTTTAAACTAATTGTATCAATCGATTGTAGAATTATTTAATTACACTCTGCTTATCGCACCAAAGATTAATTAGATTTTCGACAATAAGGAGATAAATTTGATTGAAATTTACGAGTACATTATCGTAAAGTGCACATCAAATTGATTTGTTGGATATTATTCGATCAATTGCGTAGTTTCGGTGGACATTAAGTTGTTTACTGGTTGTTAGTTTTTTGTTAGTCTACAAACATAACTATAAAACACTCCATGTGTTCGTGTTCCTAAATTTTAGTTTAATTATTATACAAAAAAGTTGACACTTAATTGATATCATGGGCTTTATTTAAGCGCATTGTAAAAAATTAGTTTATCAACTGTAATAGATCACAGTCCATTCACAGTCCAACAATAACAAAAACACTACATATTCATTACATTTTCATGAAAATAAAGTTTTGGGCGCCAAAATATATTTATTAACTTTTAAGATATTTTATAACGATGGTGTCCATCCCCCAATACCTTTTTTCTAAAGCCTCAGCCACTGCTAGACACAATCGATCTTGTTTAGGGCCTGCAATTACCTGTAAAAGAATGTAAGTCAAGTAAAAATAGTAATTTTCTCAGATTAGACGTATTCTCACTTGAATTCCAATTGGTAACCCCTTTTTATCAAAACCAACAGGCACTAAAGTGCTTGGACATCCTAAAATGTTGAAAATCATTGAATAAGTGATTCCAGATGACTTTGTTAACACTTGATAGTGCTGGAAAGCTGTCGACGGAAATGCTGGATACAGTAACACTGCATTATCACCTAATTTATTCTGTAAACATAAATAATTTGTGTCATTAAAGATAAAATCATTTAAGCATTGACATATTGCGTAATTACCCAAACATCTTTCTGCAATGTCTTCATTTTCATCTTGTAATACGGCAATTGCGATTTTGGAATAAATGCATTGTATCGAATTATAAATTCAGCAAGTAACAAGTAAATAGATAAATTACTAGTGCCCATGATACTCTTTACAATTTCAATATACAAATTTAAATCTTTCTTTGGATTGTTGGGATCTTTCATAAAGTTTGGTCGATCCTTCATTTCAAGAAACAAAGTTGTGCCAATTTCAGGTGACAATTCCATACATTGAAATCTCACTAATTCTGATTTCATACGAAAATCTTTACGTAATATTTTTACAGTTTTGTAAATACTTCTCATGATATCTAAAGATACTGATGTTATGCCAAACATATTATAATAATCCTCCGTGAAAAGTACTTTGATTTGTGAAAGATCAACTGGTTTATTCAAGTCAAGGCACTTTCCTTCTTCATCACAAATGATTTCCAATATTGGTTTGAGGTCTCCTGCGTAGCGACACATTGGACCAATTGCAAAATAATCATAAGAAACTGGATCAGTTGAGTCTGGAAAATGCATTGTTCTAGGGACAATATCTAAAATAAAACGCAATGAATTAAGAGTTATATACGGTGTGTTTGTTTCATAGATGTGGTTTATACTTGGCGTTGTTTTATGACCAAAAATTCCAGTAAATGAACATGGTAGACGAATGGACCCAGCATAGTCGCTTCCAATTCCAACAACAGACGCGCCTGAACTTATTAAAGCCGCCTGCAACATTCGTTAAGCAATTGTCTTCAATTAAGCTACTTAGTCTATCCAAACACATAAAGTGAGTAAAGTTAACACAACACATTAATTCTCCTTTACCTCACCACCAGAAGATCCACCAACGGAATAATGTGTATTATACGGATTGTTTGTGGCACCTGTAAGAAGATTATTACTTTCCAATCCAGAACAATATTCAGGACAATTGGAAACCACCAATGGAATAAATCCAGCTTTTCTTAAGCGTTCAACACTTGCGCCATCTGCATCGCTTTTGATTCCTCTGCGTGCCAAAGTACCAACAGCATGACTCAATCCTGATAATGTTAAATTTTTAAATAAACATAACGTAATCATTATATAAATTATAATTATATTAGTAACCTTTAACGCCGCAGCTTTCCTTAACACTAATGGGCACTCCAAGAAAAGGTTTGTGTCTTGCTAATTCATCCTCCGCCATTTTGGTGTGAGTGATAAAATCATCGGCTGCTTTAGCATCCACCAGAGCTGCATCGTATCGATCGTCAGTGACGGCATTAATTAACGGATTCACTTGCTTGATGCGCCCGATGTAAGTTGCGACGACGTAAAGCGACGTTAACTATAATTGCATTAATTGAATCGATGTTGAAATTCTTACAAGTAAATTACAAGCAAACTTACTTTTCTTTTGCGAATCCTACTAGCTAACTCAGTCGCACTCAATAATAACACTTGATTATCAATTGGCGGCACATGTTTAGGCGATCGCCATCGTCTCAGCCAAAACACTGGTCGCAAAAGTTTATCGATAAGGAGCACCAGGAGATTGACAAGGCGAAATATGTAATTCATGTTTGTGCCGACAAGGTTTCGCCTACACTAATCACAACTGCATTGCAATAACGCCAAACATCTCTAAACAAATTTCTCTTATCATCAACGTTTAATATAAAAATAGCGCTGGTAAAATAAAATAACCAACTTTTGAGTATACATCCTGCTAACCTCTAACATTAAGTATAATTCATATCGCGTTAATGGTTTTAATCGTGAGTCTTATTAAAATTGAAAGATCCTACTAAATTACTTGGATTATTTGCATTAGTTTTCTGCAGTCAGTGAGATTATGGAGACTTCCAACCTCCGAAAATCGATTGCAATTCTTTGGCCACTGCGAAACACAGTCGATCTTGATTTACATTAGCTACAACCTGCAACAAAACACAAATTTTCATTTTTAACAAATTTCTTGAATTTTTATTTAAAAATGCTTTCACTTACTTGAACAGCAATTGGTAGGCCGCTACTATCGAATCCCACTGGTACTGTCGTAGTTGGAAAACCAAGAATGTTAATAATAAAGGAATATGCCATGCCAGCATACATAAACATAAATTCGCACTCCCTCAATGCGGTGGCAGCAAAAACAGGATAAATAAAAACGCCCGTATCCTTCAATTCGGCGCTCATCTCATTTCTGAGTTCGTTGAGTATCGTCGTGTACTTTTCAATCTTTTCTGGACTTGTTGTTTTCTTCGAAGCTGCGTCGACAATCTCATGAATCATAATGTACGCCGAATATTGCGAACAGCCAAACAAATTTAAAAATAACTGCGAAAGCACGCCGTACTCCCGCTGAAATGAAATAAAACCAAACTCCAGTTTACTGTAAACATCACGCAAATCATAAAACTCTTACATCTTTGGTTTTCATTGGCGAGTCGAATTTAATCTGAGCCGCTGTCACCGTGCATATTTCAGTGGCGTAGCCTAAATTGGGAAATTTTCTTTCCACAATCGTCGCTTTACAATTATCTCGCAGTAATTCGGCGCAGTCTCTGACGGATCGCTTAATTTCAGGCTGCACTTTCATCAGTCCAAAGTTCATTCCGCAATCGGTCATGTAATATATTCTCAGCTTGGCTAGGTCGACCTATTGACGAATCGTAACCCAGACAATAACAGATTATATTGATTGATACGATATCAATGCTTACAGGCTCGTCCAAACGCAGCTCGTCCACTCGGTCCGAAACGACTTTCATCAAAGGGGAATGTCCTCAGCATAACGCGCCATTGGTCCCACTACAGTATACTTAGCAAACAACGCATCATTCAAAGGAGGAATATGCCCTTTTGTAGAAATAAAACCTAAGATACACACAAAAAATGAAAAAAATAAGTAAAAATAAACAAAGTGGATATTTTTATTTTTAACTCACCGTGCGTTGGTTTGTGTCCAAAGACGCCATTAAAAGCACTCGGGTAACGTATGGAACCGGCTAGATCAGAGCCCAATCCAATCAGGGACGCACCAGCACCTAAAAGCGCACCCTCGCCTCCTGAAGAACCTCCAACGCTGCGCAAACTGTTGTAGGGATTGCGCGTCACCCCGTACAGCTTGCTGTAGGTTTCGATCGTCAAACAGAATTCGGGTGTCGTCGAGACTAATAAAATTATCGCGCCGGCACGTCGCAGCCGGCTCGTCGCCTCGCCGTCTTCGTCCGCTTTTACATCCTTATACAATTTGCAGCACATCGTCGCGCTGAGACCTTTGACTTGCAAATTCTCTTTGATTGTCACCGGTATCCCAAGTAGCGGTTTCGTCCTTTTGAGCGCCTCCAAATCGACGTTCTCCTGCGCCAACATTGCGTCGACTTCTTGCGCTTCTTTGAGTGCATCGGTGAAACGATCTTCGGCGACTGCATTGATGATCGGGTTGACCAAATTTATACGATTCACATACGCAGACACAAGCGCATAACTTGTAATCTTAAAAAAACAATAATTTTAAACAAATAATGACTTAAAACACGAAAATGCGATTATTTTTTTATACGTTGGCACGTGGTAGATTTATAAACGTATGTTATACAATGGTTTGTATTGTTTTGCGCGCGTAACTGACCGACAGGTGCACAGCGCGATGATCGTGTGTGTACTTACTTCTTTGTTGCGTATCTTTTCTGCGAGTGCGGTGGCGCTGAGCGTCAGCAACTGTTCAGTAGCGGGTGGGACGCGTCTGGCGCGCTTGTAAAAACACAGACACAGCTTCACGTAGCGCAGGAAGGTGCACACACCGATAATGATACCGGTGTTTATGCGCAATACATAATCCATGTCTGTATGCAATGATTGTGACCCGAATACTAACCGACTTCAAGCCGGCGACGAAATGCGCTCCGAAACTATAGCGCGCGCCTCAAAACGTACCGCGTACACACAGATAAAACACGTGCTCGCAGCCGCCGATAGCGCGACGCGGCATGCACTCAACGCGCGCCGGGACAAGGTTATCGCTGTTGCGGTAGAGAGGAGACCAACACCATACACACACACACAACTCGCTTCGAATACTAGAAGCGGCGCTAGAAGCAAATTGTTTAATTAACTATTAATGCCATTTACAATCGGTGCTTTTCATAAACGACGCCACGCATTAGCTCAGCGACATTAGCGCACGCTATTCATATTTTTAAACTTGCGCAGCAGCGCGAAATTGCCCGCTGGCGCCGGTGTTGGTGTCGAATGGTGGGAGCCAACCGCCGAAAACACTTTCCAGTTCTTTTGCCACTGCCAAGCAGAGGCGGTCCTGGTTTCTTGCTGCAATCACCTGCAAATACACCTTGAACTTTGTACGACAACTAGAACACATTGTGTAATAATTAACACGCACATATATATTCAAATAATGGTATTGACGTATTGAATGCTTTTAGATGAGATTTAAAAGTTAATTGCCATTATGCGCGTCGAATAATTGGATTTTTAAGTACACTTTGAGCGAAAAGTTCAAAACACGTGTAAAAAATGTAAAAATAGACGTATGCAAATAGAAAACTGTTTGGTTTGTGAATTTACATACAAGTTTCAGTACACATGATAAATTACAACATAAATTTTCCTTTTTTACATGTAATTATCATTTTGTTTCAATTTTTTGCAATCATTTCTGTTTACCCAGCAAAATTTGTTTTTTTTTATATTAAAAATAAACGGATATCCGCATTGCGCATATTAAATAATAATCATTGCGTAAACAAATTGTTTCGACGTTATCAGACTTATTAGTTCGGACACATGGATGTAAATGTAATTATTTTAAAATATTCATACCTGAATACCCACGGGTAATCCGTTTTCGGTGAGTCCGACAGGTACGGTAGTCGCCGGAAGTCCCAATAAATTCGCCAGGCCCGGGTAGGTGCACGACGACAATGTGAAGCACGATGCGCCGTGTTTGAAAGCAGGCGTTGGAAATGTCGGGTATAAAAGAATGCCGTTATCTCCCAGTACTTGCTAATGATTAAAACAAAACTATCTTTAAACATTCGCTGTCTTATCCAAAAATTACTGACCAATCATATCGAACAATTCTTTAGCGTTTATCTAATGTTTTATCGTGTTTTATGAAGGAATTTTTACTTACATCAATTTTTTGTTCAAAATGCGTAACAAATTTCAGGATTGTATCTGTTTCACACGAATCTATCAATAGTTTCGGATGGTTTTTGCCAAGTAAATACAGAAGTAATCCCATTGAATAATCGGCTTTACCAAAAATTGATTTCATCCATTGATATCCTACTTTTACCTGTAATATACATCATCAGTGATTATATTATTGTCGTGGATTTGATTATACATTATCTGAAATGTAGTCATTTTGGTAGCTTAGGAATAAAGCGATAATGACAGGATCAAAACGCGCATCGTCGAATTTCACGTCACTAATGTGACATTTCCACTTGTTCCGAAAATGATCAACGGATTGTTTGATACGATGTTTTATAAGCGGATGTACTTTAAGTGTATTGGCGGGATTACCATTATCCTCCATAAAATGAACGTTTATATTATTTAAATTAACCTTAAATCAATTTTGACGTGGTAACATATTAGTATTTATGTTGTTGAGTGTATGATTGGTTGCGTACCTTCTCATCTAAACGTAGTAGAGGATTGTTTTTTGTCAATATTTTAGTTACAATTAGCAGATCTTCGGCATAACGACACAATGGTCCTATGGATAAACATTTTTTGAACAGAGGTTCTTCTGACCATGGTACATGCCCACTTATATCCACAACACCTATACATACATTAATTTTTGTTTTATTGCAAAATTAATTTTTTTTTAAATTTTGTTACCTGTGCTTGGTTTGTGTCCAAATATTCCACAAAATGCCGCAGGTATCCTCACAGATCCCATAATATCAGATCCCAAGCCACAGACTGAAGCAGCAGATGATATTAATGCACCCTTACAAAAAACACAAAATAAAACAATCTACCACTTAAATATTTAAATATCAATTTACTTACTTCACCACCAGATGACCCCCCACATGTTGTTCCAATATTGTAAGGATTATTAGTTTTCCCGGTCACCAAATTATTCGTTTCATTACTAATACATAACTCTGGTGTTGTAGTCACACACAATGGAATACCACCAGCTTCAATCACCATTCTAACACTTTCTCCATGTTTTTCAGCTATAAATCCACGACGATTCTTCGCACCTACCACCAAAGGCATACCCTGCATTGATAAAGATTCTTTGACGGTAATTGGTACCCCAAGTAATGGTTTCCGCTCAGATAATTCAGTTTCAGTTAATTCTGTTGTCTCTAAAAATTTGTCAACGTTTCTTGCTTCTTGTAAAGCATCTTCGTATCGATCGGCAACAATAGCGTTGAGGACTGGATTAACTTGTTTCTGGCGTTCAATAAAATTAGACACAACTTCAAATGAAGATATCTGTAGATTAAGTAGAAATTAATTTTGTTTATTGTTTTGTTTTTTATATTTTTACAAACCTTTTTATTACGAATGTAATAAGCTAGTTGTGTTGCACTCATTTCAAATATTTCATTCGTAGTAGATGTGATGCGATTCCTCCCCTTGCGTTCATTACAAAAACACGAAAATAGTTTTAAAAAACTGTAAAAGTTTAATAACACCTTGTTGTTGCGCTTATATCGCCTGAAATTTAGGCTTTCATACTCGCTGAAACTAAACGATCGAAAACAATTATAACGGAACACAGAATTACTTTGGATTTATTCAAACCTGGTCATGGTTCATAGATGAAACTCGAACTGGCATTGGCAGCGAATTTGTTTACCGCTGTTAGCTACGTGTAGCTTCCGCAGACACAAAAACCGGAATAAAAAATAATTATACAAAAGTTTAAACTGTAAAACAATTCACATGTTTTGTCCTTTTTAGTTGACTCGTATGTCGTCAGCATTGTTATTTCGTATTGCAAAATATCACATAGTTAACATAAACATCAGAATACATTAGAAATATTGATTGGAATATTCCTATTTTTAGTTTTTGTTAATAATATGGAAATATTCAAAGTCAGCAGATAAATATTTTGAATTTTTCTTTTTGTGAAGGTAGAAAGAGGGCAATTAAAATTAAAATAATAAAATTTGAGGTGTAAACATTGAGGTTTATGTAAGTATTAGTGATTTGACGTAGTTTTAGAAGTTTTACAAAAGTTTTTGCGTTTATTTAGACATAACAACTAAAAAGTCAAGGATATCCTAACCAAACATGCAATACACGGATCAGTTTCAAAATTAAAATATTTATTACCTATTCTATTGATAAACAAGTAAAAAATCAATTAAAATTAAATTAAAATTTTTAAAAATAAAAAAATTAGTACGGTGACATCCAACCCCCGAAAACAGTCTCAAGCTCTTTGGCAACACTCAAACACAGACGGTCTTGATTTTTCCCGGCCATCACCTAAAATAATCACCATTTAATTTTTGCATATGAAATATCGCAGTTATTAATGTCATTCTACCTGAATCCCAATAGGTAATCCATTCTCGATGAAACCCACTGGTATTGTAGTAGCAGGTAGCCCAGTGATATTAGCAAGTGACAAATATGACATGGAACTACTGGTGAACACGGACATGCCATGTCGGAATGCAGACGACGGAAACACGGGATAGAAAAACACTCCATTATCACCTAATTCTTTCTATAAAGTAATTAATATGCATCGATTTATCACACTTTATGCAATTTGAGTTGCATAGACTTACATTTATTTTATCCGCCAGGAAGTCAACGAAATGTTTCATTTTTTCCACGTCGTTAGGCATTATAAACTTGTCATTTTTTACACATAAGTAGAATAAACGTGCAGCTGAAATATCTGCTTTGCCAAATATTGTTTTTAACAATTGGAAGAGAATACTTAACTAAAACCAAACAAAATTAATATTTTTGTTATTAAAAAATCTAAAATCTTTATTATTACGTTTGGATTATATTGTTTATCATCAAAACTCAACATGAAAGTGAGATTTGCTTCGTTTGTATATTGCACTTCATCAAACTTGCAATCACTCATATCACAATCCCATGTTTTGCGGAAGTGGTCAACTGCATCACGAATACGTTGTTTGATTTTTTTGTGTACACCCATTGATCCAAAGCAGCTTCCGCCATCAACCATGTAATACATTTTTAAATTACTCAATTTCACCTGAAATAAACTAAATTAATTATAGAAAAATGTTTAAAATATTTGTATGACATACAGGATCATCCAGTTGCAACAAAGAATTATTTTCTGTTAATATTTTAGTCATGAGTAGGAGATCTTCTGCATATCTGCATAATGGTCCAATGGTTAACATTTTTTGGAAAATTACTTCTTCTGAATATGGAACGTGACCAACTAAATCAACAAGACCTAAAATAACAAGGTTAAAATTTTATTATTTACTTTATACTTGCATATAAGTAACCTGTAGATGGTTTATGACCAAAAATACCACAAAACGCTGCTGGTATTCTTATAGAACCTGCTAAATCTGACCCAATACCAATTACACTTCCGGCTGAAGAAATAATAGCGCCCTAAATAAAAAATTCAATAAAATATTTATTTTTTATTATTTAATTCATTTGTATTACTTCACCACCTGACGATCCCCCAGATGCATAATTAACATTATATGGATTGTTGGTTTTACCGGTGACTAAATTATTTGTTTCGGTGCTTAGACAAAATTCAGGCGTTGTTGTGACACACAATGGAATAGCTCCTGCATTTACTAATTTTTGTACAGCTGCGCCATTTTCTTCTGCTTTGATGCCAATACGCTCACGGGCACCAACCACAAGATTCAATCCTTTTACAGAACAACTTTCTTTGATGGTAACAGGTACGCCAAGTAAAGGTTTATCATTTGCTATTTCATCTTCAGTTTTTGTAGTTTCAGCAAGGAATTTATCCACTTCCTTTGCTTCAAATAATGCATCGTCATAGCGGTCAGCGACGATAGCATTGATAATAGGGTTCACTTGTTTCTGACGCTCGATAAACGCCGATACAACAATTGTGCTGGTGATCTATAAATAATTACAAGTATTTATTTACATTTATTACTAAATTAATAATTAAAAACTTTAAAAAAATGTTTTTACTTTTCTTTGACGAATTTCTCTTGCTAATTGTGTTGCGCTTTTCTTAAAAATATCATTTTCTGTTCTCGGGAGTTTTTTAGGTGTGGTATCACCATAGACAAATCCAGCGATTACATTATACACATAATAAAGAAAAACAAATATAGCAGCTATCAAACGATACTGCACACACACTAATCCCTCAGTGGCGCTAAAATATTATCAATCACACCAAATATACCAATGTATAATCAATAATTTTGATAAAATTTAAACTTACTTGCCCATTGCCTTGTGATGACGATTATATCGAGTGAGTATGTTATGACTGGCTATGTTATAATAATTTCACCGCAGCCGAATGCACAAAATGTAATGTGCAGAGAGTTGCACTTTGTTTGTCTTCCTTTCCTTCTCAACACGGAACAAACACAATTTCACTCTCTCGTATGCTCGGCGCGCACTCAAATGAATATTAGTGATAACTTTCTCGCGGAGCCGTGAGCGCAAAATGAAATAAATAAATTGTTGCTGGGGATCGATGCAATTATTATTGATTTTCGAGTGCTCAACCAGTTTTTTCGTCTGTGTTGATTTATAACATTCACTTACAAATAATTTAAATATAGATACGATAAAAACGAAAAATTAATCATTGCATCACAGATAAAATAAGATTAAAATTTTTTATCAGTATTAATAAAATAAACGGAATGTTGATAAGCAATTGATAAGCAATTATTTTTTATGCGGTGTAGAATATTCAGGTGGTGTCCAGCCTCCATAAGTAGTCTCCAAGTATCTTGCTAGTTTCATTGGTACCCTGTCATTTAATTGTTTTGCAACAACCTAAAAATCATCAATAATTTATTTTACTTTGAAAAAAATTAAATTTTAATTACTTGTATTCCTATGGGTAATCCATTAGAATTTTTCCCAATAGGTACCACACAAGAAGTCAGATCCAGCGCGTTGAATATGCCCATATAACAAGGATCCATTGTTTTCGCGTAGATTTGTCCGTGAACAGGCGCTACACTGGGAAATGTTGGATACAGTAACACACCATCATCCCCAAGCATTTCCTCAACTTCTTTTTTCATTTCTTTCAATAATATCTTATGTCTTTCAAATACCTCCTCACTACCCAGAATTTTGGAGAAGAAATACAACATTTCAAACAAAAGTATTGACAAAACAATTCGTGGACTACAAAACATTGTTCGAATCCATTCCACAAATAATGAAATGTTTTTGTATGACATCTCTTCATATGCACCTTCCATGCTTAAAAGATTTATGTAAGCAATGTCGAATTGATCGGCAAACGACTTCAATTGCACCTGGAACAAATTATTTACGTAACGGTGTAAGTTTGCAGCCGCATTCGAAAGTGCTGGAGTTGTGCAATATATAATTACAATGGTAACTATTTTATATTTCCCGGTACGAGTGGTGACGGATAGACACTTTCCTCACTCGGAGATGTTTCTATGTGAATAAAGTAGTGTTTGCGTTTAATTATTCACCAAGTGAACTTGCACATCATTGCGATATTATGACATTATCTACAGTGTTAAAAAAATAATAAATACAGTGTGACGAATGAATATTAATAAATTATAAATAAAATTACGTTTTCTGTGAAGAATCCATCATCTTCCAAGTGGGCCACAACCTTTTTCATTGCAGCGACTATTTCGGAGCTTACTTTTGTTGTTGGATAATTACTCCCACTACCAAACATGTAGAAAACACGTATTGTTTTTGCGTCAAACTAAAAATTATAAATTTTAATATAAATTTTTAAAATTTGTTTTTTTTTTATCTGATTACCTCTTCAAATAATTTAATTTCTTCGATTTTTTCAGGTGGTACAATACATTTTAATACAAGTGGTAAATCTACTGCGTATCTAGTGATAGGAGAAAGAGATAATGCATGATGTTGAATATAAGGACTATGTAATTCAATAGGCGTTAAATTTGAAGAAGTACGATGTCCATACACTCCACAGAAACTAGGTGGACCTCTTCCGGAACCAATCATATCAGATCCAATCCCTATTAATGATCCACATGCAGCAATGAGAGCCGCCTGAAATTTTTTTCCCATTTAAAATTAATTTAACGAATTTTTAGTAAAATTTAAATAGATACTTCGCCTCCGGAAGATCCCCCAGCTGATCTCCTCGTATCGTAAGGATTAAGTGTCCGTCCAGTAGCATAATTCATACACTCCCAATTCATGCAAAGTTCCGGCGTGTTTGTCACCAAATAAATAATCGCACCCGACGCTTTCAACATCTCCACAGCTTTCGCATCTTGCGTTGCAATTCTAGGTCTTATCTTACTTCCTACTCCCCAACTCATACCTTGCACTGCAATACACTCTTTCACTGACACTGGTACTCCCAGCAGAGGATACCTCTCCTCTAGTTCCTTCGTATTCAATCCACTGTTCCTCACAAAATCATCCGCATGCTGCGCTTCATTCATCGCAACTTTAAACCGCTCTGTCACTATGGCATTGAGTACCTTGTTGACTTCTTTCGCTCTGTCAATGTACATCGACACAACATAAACACTCTTCAGTTTTTGATTGCGAATTCTGTCGGCAATTACAATCGCCGGTTGTAAATAAACATCGTCGTAAACTGGGGGACATCTTTTAGGGCTTTGAAGTTGAAAGTACAACCACATAGGGATATGTAAGATCCGGTTCATATGGCCGGTAAACCATACGAGGAAATGTATTATAGCTCGCAGCATTTTGCTTATACTGAGGACGGTTTGAAATGAAAACTAATTCTAGTTATGCTGGACAGGGGTGTTTTATTTGCATTGACTACTCGTAACGCGAATGTATATAGGTAATATATATAATTATTTCGTTTGATGTGGAGGAAAGTATAGTGTTGTTATGGTTCCTTGACGCATATTGCACCTGGATTCTTTTACATTATAGGGAGTTGGTTTTTCTAGCACTGCAAATAATTATAGAAGCATATTCGGACGAAAAACAAAAGAGAATTAATTAGTACATGGTTTGACTGCTTAGGATACATTATTAATTAGTATTGGCATAAGATAGCTATAATTACTAGTACTACAGAAATTACAATATTTATTTGCTAAGAAAGTGCATGTAGAGTTTGAGGAGCAAAACTAAAGAAAATGAACACATCGCGACATCTGTTAGCAACTAGTAGAAAGCTTATAGCAGAGTGTACTGCGGGAAATATATAGTCAAGCAGCGTTTTGATCTATAAAAATGGTTTAAGGTAATAATTATACTTCACACTCTACTTGATTTTTTTTTTCTAAAACTAAATATTAATAAATAAAGACTTTGAATGTAATTTATTATGTTTATATTTATTCTTTTTGTAAAGGCTGTGTATCTAATCCTGGAATAAGGGTCAGGATGGCCGAGTGGTCTAAGGCGCTGCGTTCAGGTCGCAGTCCACTTCTGTGGGCGTGGGTTCGAATCCCACTTCTGACAAACCTTTTGTATCAATCCTGTAATCATTTACCTATTCAAAATTTTATCTCATCTTAAATCACCAAATAAAAAAATACATATATTTTGAATTATTTACATTTTTTGACTTATATAATAAGTAACTATAGGGATTATAATAATCTAAAAGGAGGTTATTCCCCCAAGTAAAGTCCCTGAATGACGAATGCCTCGACTAGGCGCCACTCGCACCAGGAGCGCAGAAAGTTGAAAGTAACAAGCGTTAGTCTGCTAGCAGCAGAAGGGATGAAAAGGGAGGTCGGCTGCCTTGAAGCAGTGAGCGCGCCAGGAGCACATTGTACGCCCGAACTGTCCGACATGAAGGATCGCACAGGACGGAGGGAGCACTATAACATCAATATATAACGAGCGTATGAGACACGAGCGACGACGCCGCGCTCCTGGGAGGTCTAGAAGGCCGTCGGGATATGTAGGACGCGATGGATAGCTGACAAGGCAGCGAATGCGAATTATTCAAGCAGTAAAAACAGCAAAATGTCTACATTCGCTTATTTTAGGTTGAAAAATGTGCGCGGTTCAAGGATTTGTATACCGCCACCGCCCCCATTGTGACTGCTAGCTGAAAACAAAGAGAAGATGCAGGCGCCTGGATGCTGACCACCCATTGCGACGCCGGGACTTGTTGGATTTCGCCACGGATTATTACACATTGTTTTTTTGGCATATTTTTTACCGGACGAATCGCGCCATCGTGGTGCCAACCCCAAAGGAGCCCTTGACCCGGCTTGAAATCATATCCGCATCGCAATGTCCTAGGAAATGTGAAGCGGGCGGCGGCAACAACAAAATACTTTGCGGTATAAATAAAGTGATTCGAGTTGGGAGCACAGATGGTGCGTGCAGGGGGGATGGTCGGCATGCGAGTTCAACTCGACGTGATACATCACTAGCAACACCGCGTTTTGCTTTTCCTGAACTTCCGCTCTCGCTCCAGCTTCCTCCCCACTAGTCGTCCTCGGCCGCCAAAGACGACCCGACGCGATTACCTTGTGCACCCCCACCATCACCGGCTCGCCGTCTCCACCACCACCACTGCCGTCTCAGCACTCACGGAAAATTGAGTTCGTCGTATTTATTACCGCATCCCACTTTATATACAAAGACGAAGTGTTGCGCTGCAGGACGAGGAAGGATAACGTTGTTGAGCGCATGTAGCGATGAAGCGCTCGCGTTATCGCGTTGTCAGCCTCTCGCTCTCTCATCGTACTTCCGCACTTAACACTTTCTTCATTGTCTGCATCATCATTCATCGTTTAATTAATTCTCAAATATTTAGGTTGTTTTGATCAATTCCATTGTTTTAGTAAAAATTTAGTAAAAATCTCTTAATTATCACATAGATTTTTTTGTAATTAATGAATTCATAACAAAAACAATGTTTGTAAGGCTTGGGTGTTTATGTAACGAAAGAACAAAGCGTGCGTCCGGCAATATGTGTTTTCAACCTTATTAAGTCGAAGTAATTAAACGTAATATCTAAAGTAGAGCGTCACGTTTCGTGCGGGAAGCAAATAAACGTCAGGGATTGTGTTGTAGTAGTAGCGGAGAGTTTCAAGGGAGGGCTCAGTCGGCGGCGGCGAGAGTTAGGTCGACTTGCGAGAGTCCTGCAAGAGTGGGTGGCGGCTAGCCGCCCGCGCGTACCATCCCATTCTTCCCGCGATCTCATTTTCTCCGTATCTTCGCGCCGCCGACGTGCCACTGCTCGCGCACAAACTTGCCAACTTGAATAGAACCCACCCGCGCAAAAGAGAGACCCCTAGATGCAAACATGCCCAGCCGACAAATGAAAATATAAAACGGAGAAAATAACGGATGACATTCAGGAGTTCCTCTTTTCAACGAGAATGGAAATTATTCGAAACAGGCGATTCTGTTATAGCCTGTAGCACGCAAAAACTGGCTGACTGCTCATGCTTTGTGAGTTGCGCAAATGTTGAGCGAAAAGCCGGCCGTACGTTGGCTCGATCAGAGAGGGTGGAAATGCGCGTCGCACTCACACGTACACGCCGGGGGTGGAAAACGATTGCGAGATGAGGACGAGAAGAACGTGGTTATAAATCTGCCGGCAACATAAACAGCGCAACAGAAAGAGACTGCCACGCCGTGACGGCAAGTTTATGATATTTATTTGCTCGAGTTTCTTCTTATTATCGTCATCCCCTTCTTCTGCATTCTTGGCGCATTATACAACGAACGTGTCATGTGTTAGTATTATGTTAACACTACAAATATAAAATATTTGGATTTTTGCGTGGATAATTACTAAATACAAATAATTTTAACTTGTTTTAAGTTTTCTGCTTGTATGAGAAGCAAATAGTTTAAATTTGCAAGTGAAATGCACATACTCTCCATTTATCAGCCCATTGCCGACATTTGACGTTGAGTAATAATTCATTTAGAGTTTTAGGTTAACCCCGCTGCTTTATGATACTTAATATCCTTACTAATATTATAAATGCGAAAATCCTGATGTTTGTTACACTTTCACGCAAAAACTACTTAACCGATCATCATGAAAATTTGTACACATATTCTTAGTGGTCCCTGAAAGGTTATAGGCTACTTTTTATTTAATATAAAAAAATATTTTTTAAATAAAATAAAGAAATTGTTTAGTCAATAATACCGTTGCATCTGGTTATTTGACTACTTGAACGCCATCTAGCATTCCAGCAATGAAGCTCAAACCTAAGTACTATAGTACCATCACACTGTATTATCACACTGTATTACCGACAGCTACGTCAACATCAAATCCAATTGACTACACTATGGAGACTGTACACTATACTTCCATAGACTATACTTTCAGCCATTTTAAACTTCCCGCCATTCTACTTCATTGTTACTTCTTCTGTGACTACAGACGCATACGGAAGCAACTTCATTGATTTCTAATATTTATTTGATGGATTCAACGCAAGCGAAGCCGCGGGATAAAGCTAGTATTTAATATAAAACAAATCTCAATATGTGTACATCACCCCGCCCACACAAAGCTCGTTGTGCGGCGTGGAAAATTTAGTTTTCTACCTTTTAACCCGTGACGCGCACATGACGCTGTACGACGTGCCAAAGCAACGAGCACATTGCTCTCATCATCGTCCTACTAACTGGCGAACAAGGCGGCACGGACGACGAGAACAGAAGGAGCCAAAGAGGACGGACCAAGCACTTCCTCATAAAAAGCGCACAAACTTCTTCCCCGTCTGCGCAATAAAACCAAGAGCTGAGTATACTCGGAAGTTTCAGTAGCGACGACGATAATGCCTAAAAATCAAAGCAGAATTTAAGAAGTGTGTAAAAACTTCGCTTTATGAATATTCAACTTTTGATATAGTTGAAATTAAATAAGTTTCATGCGCACCCTTCGCAAATTAATTATTTATTTATCGACGCGCTGGAATAATCACTATGTGCACAGGTAATGGTAGATTACGGCAATATAACCAATAATATACCAATAAATTTGTTCGATATGAAATTATATTGTAAGCGATACGTCGATCGATATTTCATAAATCAATAAGTTAACTCGAGTTTCACATCGTGCTCGACGGTTAAGCGCACTTCGTGTGAGAGCCGAGTTCATACCGCAAACTGGAGACTCAATCGAAGTGCAAACGCGCAACACTTATCTCGATAAATCAACGATAATTTCACCTTGTCAAAGAGTGAATTATTTATATTGACAGACTCTTTACGTTTTGACCATCTTAAACGCGTGCAGCACGAGTGAATCAATACATACCTTTGCGCTAAATAATTAAATAAATAATTCATTTAGTTTTAATCATAAGTTTTGGGTTAAGATAAATCTTGACATTGTTTCGCAAGTATCAAGTTTCTGATGTTACCAACTCAAGGAAAGTTGCTGCGAAACTTGCAAATTATTATTGATAGGAAAGTTTTCCGCGTCGCGTTGGAGCGTCACAGAATACTTCTCATTGTTTTTACTTCCGGTGATTAAATGACACTACATCAATTCTTCGAAATGGAAGTGCTAACGTGATGAGATGAAGAGGATATGACGTAATGATTTGATTATGATTGAGAGTAAAGCAGAAAAATGACATCCGTCACCGGCCTTGTAATTATCTCAAACCTGGCGCGATATCACCTCATCGGCTTGTGTGCAGTTGGTGGACAAATGTGGTAGCGCTGCCGCCGCCGCCGCCAGGCGGATGAAGCCGAACCCGACCGAATGG